CACACACACACACACACACACTCTCTCTCTCTCTCTCTCTCTCTCTTCTCTCTTCTCTCTCTCTCTCTCTCTCTCTCTCTCTCTCTCTCTCTCTCTCTCTCTCTCTTCACTCTCTCTCACCACACACACACACACACACACACACACACACCACACACACACACACACACACACACACACACACACACACACACACACACACACACACATGTAGATATACTATTTGATTTATGCACTAAGGACGGAGAGAAAAAAGACTACTGTAGTACTGTAGAATGTAGCAATGCGTAACAGGCCTCTGCCGGAGTGTAGGCCTACTTTTTTTAAGGGCGTCTGTCCTCGCCGTCGCCGGGAAAGCGAGGTCACCGAAAGCAGGCACTCCGGGCACTCACCTCGGACTCCGCGGGGCCTGAGCCTTGGGGTGCCAGATGCGCATGTAAAGAGGGATGTAGACGTATATGATGTATCTATATCTATCTGTCTGTTTGTCTATCTATAATGTGTTTGTATTTATATGGATATATACATAAAAGTATTTATAGGTATATGTATGTATGTATACATATTTTTTCTAACTACTTGTTTATTTGTTCATTTATCTGTCCATCTATCAGTCAAATACTCAATCAATCTATACACACGCACACACACACACACACACACACACACACAACACACACACACACACACACACACACACACACACACACACACACACACACACACACACACACACACACACACACACACACACACACACACACACACACACACACACACACACACACACACACACACACAACACACACACACACACACACACACACACACACACACACACCACGCACGCACACGCACGCACGCACACACACACACACACACACACACACACCACACACACACACACACACACACACACACACACACACACATGTGCTGTGTGATGCAGTGGTAGCGTTCTCGTCTAGCAGTCTTGCTGACCTGCGTCCAAATCCGGTGGATAGGAACACCGGCCGTTCCCTGCACTCGGGGGGGGGGGGGGGATTTAGAAGCACAATAAACATACATAATTCGCTGAAGTCACAAGAGCCTGCCACACCAAATCTTAAATTATTGTTATTGTTATAATGATTATTGGTATTGTTGTTATAGATATTATTATTTTATTATTGTTATAATAATAATAATTATTATTATTAATGTTTTTATTATCAAAGATATAATCCCACGCATATAATCCGAATGTCCCTCTCCCTCCCCATCGATCATCCAAGGTACAGTTCAAGCCTTGGAAGCACCTGTGTCTATAAGCAGTGACACACCTTTCCAGGTTAATCAGCAGAAACATGTTTACGTAGTCAGGGTTGCCATTTAGGGGGGTGGGGAGGGCTTCTAGATGAGCTAAAATTATGTTTTGCAGGTTTGCCCGAATATTAATCCGTGAGTGTAATGTTATGTCGTGTGGATTTGACTCGTTTGTGACTTTGACTCTCTTTAATGCGGTTTGATCTCATTCCGGACTTGAAATATCTTTTTAGCGTAAATAATCTGCAAAAAAGTAAGACGATATACGCTTGCGTGACTATATATAATGGAGTGATGAAATGGTGGCAACACTTAGCTCGGAAATGGTGACCGATTGACTATTACATAATTTCCCTGAATGTTATCTGCCCCGTCGATAGCAACTTGCATATCACCGTTCAAGGGAACTGGTTGAACGGGCGCACCCCACTCGAAGCACCACCTCGCCATAAGCTTTACTTTTGGGGTTGTTCTCCATCCTTTGAAAACTCTCCACTCAAGCCAGGTTCTTTGGGGGGGGGGGGGATGTCCAGGTGCCTTGCCTTGCTTGTGGGAAAATCATGCTCTTTGAACCGTAAGGAGAGTTGGATCAAAGAGGCTAATAATAATCGCTTGATATTGATCTTAGAATCTTGTGTCCAAAGAACCATTCCCCAGAAACCTCTAAGCGTCTGTGGATCGTTAGCTACTCTGGCCTGGGCCGAGGGGGCGCGGGGGCTCAGACAAAAGGGTAGCCCAAAACACCCCGTACACACTATTCTCGGCTCGTATTGTGTTCACAACAATTACCCTCCCCAAAAAAGTCGTATTATTGTGAGGCAAAAGTCGACTCTTTTGCTTCGCCCTCACCCCCCCCAAGCTAATGCATGTGTGCGTAAAGCGTGTTGCGTGCAAGTGGCGTGATTACTGCACGAACATTACGCAAGACCTCGCCATGTCACGCTGTTTACTTCTAGCCAAGCGCCACAGGGATCGCGTGTGTAAAATTCGAGATAAAATGCGCCCAAGTCCAAATTCTGAATGAGGTGTATTGTGTGGGAGTCCCTTCTAATTATTTATCACTTGTGTTGTCTTATGATTACGTTGATTTTGTCACTGATGTAGTTAATTGGGCGCTCTAAGTACTGTGCAGTTCGGTAAACTAACGTCTATTTTCGGTTGCTTGATTTTACATTGAAATTGTAGCTCCTAAAGGTAATAAAATTAACAAAATTTCCTCATAACTGTGCAAGGCGTTAATTTAGTAAACAAAATTATTTTTTTTGCAAATATATACAGTCACAACGACAAAAGTAACACGGTACGAAAATAACAAAATAATATCATGATTGGCAACTCCATCTTTAACCTGACACTCCCTCCAGTGACGCCATGAAGTGTATAGCCCTGCATTTACTCCAACATCAGCCATTGCTTTATGGTTGTCTTTCCGCTGGTAATAAGGGGGAATAGAACCTCCTTGAATTCGGGTGTAAAGCAGGTAGATATTTTGAACTAGATATTTCGGGAAGAGAAGGATTTTTTT